TGTTTGTTTGTTGACATCAGTGTAAGCGTGTTGAAGGCAAGTGAGAGCCAATATTCCACAATTTGGACCTTTCATCATCATACGAACTTCCTCTCTTCTTTCTGTTTTGGTGTTGCTTGCCCTTTTATCTCTCATTAAACATAAATGAGCGAATGCATCTGGGTTTTACTCCATCAAGTAAATAAGTAAATTAGCTTTCGTGAGCTCTCTTATCCCGGTTCATATCCTGGTGTACCAATGAAGTTTAGTAAAATGAAATGAACGACTTTCCTTCTCATTAACGAGTTTCCAAAATGTAATGAACAAGTTTATAGTTACCAACGTAGTAACTCAGTGGACTTTTCTAGTGGAATACCGCAAGGTTTAGTTATTTGGCGAATTTAGTTTTTGTTCATTAACGTCATACTATTTAAAAATGTCCACATCAACGCCGGCCATGCCACATACGACAGTGGCATCCATATTAGTTATTTCCGATCAAAATTGACCGGATGGACTGAATTAGCACAAATACAAAATGTTTGTGACTCAATTGGCAAAAACAAAAAAAGAATTTATGACTGAATTGGAACAATTACAATAAATTTAGAACTTTTTTGGTAATTTTCCCACAGATTTAGCCACTTTCAAATTTGGCGAACGCTTACTTGCCATTTTCCTCCACAATATTATAACAAAAAAAAAAAAGAGAGGTAGAAGTAGTTGGCTTTAATTTATGAATTAATGATTCAACTAGTGATTAATTTGGTCTCAACGTGAATGACTCTAGTAGATAAGGTAGAGCCTCGCCCAGCAGCGGGGCGAGGTCGGGGAGAGGCGAGGCTCTACCTTAGAAAAGGCAAAAATAAATAAATAATTTGAAAAAAATCAAAATGTTATTTAAAATATATCTACGTTAATGCCGGGCATGCCATATTGGACGACGATGTCCATATCAGCAATTTCATATTAAAATTGACTGGATGGACTGAATTGGCACAAATGCAAAAGATTTAGGACTCAATTTGGAAAAAAAAAAGTTTAGGACTGAATTGGAACAATTGCAACAGGTTTAGAACATGTTTGATAATTCTCCCACGGGTTGAGCAACTTTCAAACTTACCGAACACTTGGTCGCCATTTTCCTTCACAATATTATAACAAAAAAAGACAAGGCAAAAGTAGTTGTCTTTAATTTATGAATGAATGGTTTAACTAGTGATTAATTTGGTCTCAACATGGATGACTTGAGCAGAAAGGCTGAGCCTCGCCCAAGGTAGGGTGAGGTGCCCAGCGATGGCGAGGTTGATCTTGCCTTTGGCCAGTCGCTAGGAAGAAGAAAAGAAAAAAAAATAAAAAAAATAAAATATTAATAAAAAATGTCAACATCAGCACCGATCACGTCACATATGACGGTGATGTCCATATCAGCTATTTCCTGTCAAAATTGATTGAATGGACTGAATCGGCACAAATGCAAAAGATTTAGGACTCAATTGAAAAAAAATGATTTTGGATTGAATTAGCACAATTGCAAAAGATACAGGTTGATTCGCTTTCAGACTTACCAAATGCTTGGTTGCCATTTTCCTCCTCAATATTATAATGAAGGGAAAATGACATAAATAATCCCTAAGTTTTGTCCCGATGTGAAATGTGATTCATGTATTTTTAATTTGTTCAATGTAGTCCTTAAATTTTAGCCCAACGTGCAATGTGGTTTTTGAACTTTTAATTTGTTCAATGTAATCACTAAAATTTTAATTCATGTTCAATTTAGTCCCTAGACTAGATCTATGGATATAATAATTCAAGGACTAGATTAAATATTTACCAAAATTTCAAAGACAATATTAAATAAATTAAAAGTTGAGAGACTAAATTACACGTTGAGCAAAAGTTCATAAATTATTTATGTAATTATCCCCGTAACAAAAAAAGACAAGGCAGAAGTAGTTGCCTTTAATTTGGTCTCTGCCGAACACATGGATGGCTCGAGCAAATTTGGCTTGTTTGCCCCGTGGCAACGTCATCAGAATTGAATGAATCGGACCATATGAGTAGTCGTTGGACTCATACAATAAGGTCTATTTATAATGAACCGAGCCATGTCTTGTCAAATCGACATGGGCTATGAAAATTCTGAGAGTCGTAGTACTGAGGGTACTCTCCATCTCCATGAGTCAATTCTTCGGTCCACCTTCTAGATATGACATGCTAGAAACCAAAATAGGACAAGATTAAGGCTCCAGATTGGAAGCTGAATTGCATAATTTATTGTTACAAGTATGAAAGGGGTAAATATTAAATCAAAAGCACCTCTTCACTAACTGTAGTGGTCATTTCTTAACAGTTCTTTCAAAGTTTCTGAGTTCCCAAGAATAAATATGTAGGACCACGGATCGCGGACTTTTGTGTACTGGTCTGAATGATGAGTGCCTATAGGAATGAAATACACAATTTCAAAAAAGAATAAATAAAAATAGAATTGTGTGTTGTGTACTGTGTGCCTTTGCACATTGAACATATCTGCCGGGGGACCGTGTGAATGCAAGGACTTTTCGACTTCCCTCCAAAGACGAAGCATGTTTGTTTGTTGACATCAGTGTAAGCGTGTTGAAGGCAAGTGAGAGCCAATATTCCACAATTTGGACCTTTCATCATCATACGAACTTCCTCTCTTCTTTCTGTTTTGGTGTTGCTTGCCCTTTTATCTCTCATTAAACATAAATGAGCGAATGCATCTGGGTTTTACTCCATCAAGTAAATAAGTAAATTAGCTTTCACGAGCTCTCTTTTCCCGGTTCATATCCTGGTGAACCAATGAAGTTTAGCAAAATGAAATGAACGAGTTTCCTTCTCGTTAACGAGTTTCCAAAATGTAATGAACAAGTTTATAGTTACCAACGTAGTAACTCAGTGGACTTTTCTAGTGGAATACCGCAAGGTTTAGTTATTTGGCGAATTTAGTTTTTGTTCATTAACGTCATCCTATATGCAAAGGCCAGACACGTTTTACACAGAAGAGGCTACAAGGTACAGATAGTGAACAAAAATGGAGATACTTCTTTTTTGCCAAAATTGATTCTACTGGTGATTTTTTTTTTTTTTTGGTCTGAATTCTACTGGTGATTGAAATGTTAGTTTTTGACGAATATTTGTTGAAAGGTGACTTTAGATATGCTGACGGACCTTATTTTACCAATCAACAACATCAATTATCTTCTCCATAAGGACAACTCAATCCTGCTGATATTTGCGTAAATCAAGTAGCAGATGATAAAACTTCTTGAAATTTTTTATTATAATATTTAAATATTAAATTACTCTTTTTATCTCGAGTAACCAACTCTAGAACAAAGCTAAGATCTTGTTTGAGTCAGTTGTCATCATTTATATAGTTGTTTCGAAATTCCAATTAAAGGTCAACTTTTGATAGTCATAGGCTATTAGATATTTAAGTTTAACTATCTAATACCGCCACCCCACCCCAAAATAAATAATAAATAAATAAAATAGACTAGTAGCGATATAAACTAATTTGCATTACGGTTTTGCAATACGTAGTTATAATTCATGAGAGCATTCCTGAAATTTTTGGGTAAAATGCTTTGAGATTAAAAGCAAGTGAACTATTATTGCAGCCATCTGATGTATGATTATGGAAAGCAAACTTCCAATTACAATAAAAAGAGCAAGCGATGAAGAACCCACTCACCTGCTTATAAATAAATTGTCAAATTTGTCGTGCATCCATGATTTAAAGAGTTTTATTTTCCGAGCTAATTCGATGATAAACTTGAACTCGAAATCTTCATTCAATAAACCGTTATGGTAATGAGTAGAGAACTCGCCTCTCTGTATTGGTTTGAATTGAAGAACTGATGCGAGGTCATGAGCTCGAGGAGATAATCGTGTGCTTAGGTTTATAAGTGGACTCATTTCAAATAAAGGAGGAAGCAGGTCTGGTGCTATTAACTCCTCAAATGTATTATTAAATTTTGCAAATTATCTTTAGTTTGGGATTAGCAAAAACAAGTAAGCCGTGAATTCTTTTCTATTGCCTAAGACAGATTCGATGGGTTATTGTTAGGGAAGTGGCACTTTTGAATCAAGCAAATAATAATGCAGAAATCAAAAAGAGGAAAAATGGGAATTCGCAGGGGGACAAAATCACCGTTCCTATTGAATCAAGCAAATAATAATGCAGCTTTGGAAACGAGTATGCATCGCATTCACTCATTTCACAAGCATGCGTATATTCCAGCAAATCATAAGATATGCACCATATCATAAACAATGTAATATGGTATAGCTAGGATATGTCTAACTCATCCTATGCTCATATCAAGAAGACCTTACAGTCATGCTCTGTCAGGCGATGAGTCATGAAAACCATATCCGCCATTGCTAAGCCTACAGAATCACTTCGCTTTGATTAAGTCTCGAAAACACGTTAGCCACAATTAAGCCCCGAAATAGAATCGATCCGTGCACATGTACATCATGTCATGTCTCAATATGCAGGTTGACGACGAGCATCAAATTGAAACCCCAATACAACATATGCCGCTAGATATATGTAGATATATATTTAAATATATATAATGTGTGTGTATATATCACCAATATAAAGAACATTCCATCCAAAATATTTTCAGACAAAATTCATTTGAGGCTCCAAAGTACTAAATGCTTGAACCAGTATTTAGAAAATGACACAGAATAATTTTCCTTCTCGATAAATCATGTCATGCAATTCTTGCGAAACATAACAAGAAGCGGAAGAGCAAAAGTGGGAAAGGGAGAGGGGCGTGTAAAATAACGAGTGTGACGATTTCCTGAGAATCTGACCAATACGCGCCGCTCCCGGTCTACGAGGTGTTGGGCCCCACTCACCCCCAACCTGCCATTGGGCCCACCTGTACACTTGTTGACTCCCCTAATTAAATTCTCGTTGACCGTGGCACTATATATGACTTTGCAAGTTCGCTACTTCCATCGATCATCACCTAGCAAAATCCCCTCTGCCCTCCCACCGAAAAAAAAATAAAACCCCTTTCCTCCTACATTTCCCTCGTCAAAACAATGGCGGCCGTAGAAGGGAAAAAAAAGGATAGGGAGTCTCGGCTTCAAGTAGCAATAGCAAATGATGATGTTAATGCCGTCCATAACTTAATCGTGGAGGAGCCTGAGCTCTTAGATCGTGTATCTGAGGACCCCTTCCCAAATACTCCTCTACATCTTGCCGCAGCCGCTGGAAAAACCCAAGTGGCCATGGAGATGGCCATCTTGAAGCCGTCGTTCGCTCGGAAGCTGAATCCAGAAGGTTACAGCCCCATGCACTTGGCTTTGCAACACAAGCATTATCACAGTGTGAGGGCATTGATGACCCTCGACCCCAAGTTGATCCGAGTCCGAGGACGATTCGGGATCACCCCTTTGCATTACGTCGCCGAGAAAGAAGGAAACAATGAGCTGGAGCTCCTGGCCGAATTCCTTTTCATTTGCAAATCATCCATCGAAGACTTGACGAGCCGATGCGAGACTGCAGTTCACGTTGCCGTCAAGCATCGCAACCTCGAAGCATTCAAGGTTTTGTTTGGATGGCTAAAGCGACTAAATCTGACAGAAATCTTGAATTGGAAAGACGAAGATGGTAACACAGTCTTAGACATTGCTATGTCCGAAGAGATAACGGAGGTATGGTTCGTTGATTTCCCGGTTGTTCGCACTGTTATTGTTTGATGCTTCAATTTGACATAATCTAATCTAGGAACAAATGTTATGATAACGAAATACCAGGAGTTGAAAATACATGGATTTAGAAACATTCAAAGAGGGGAGATTTGAACTACATTTGGGCAACAGTATATCACCTATTATAATCATTCAACGGTTAACACTTGTTGATAAGTGTTTAACTGACAATTGATATTTGATGTTGTAGAAGTGTACATAAATTTGCTCGCTTGGAGTGATCCATCAGAAACACAAAAAATACATTAAAAAAATGATTTTTCAAGCTATACGATATTTTTTGACAAAAAAAATCTATACGATATATTATAGATGAATATTTCACGTGATGCTCCTAATTTGGTTTGCACCTGAAATATTATCTCACATCTTTTGACGATGGGTTTTATATGCTTTTTACATTCATGTAGTTTTCTTTCACTTATAAGTTTATGCTTTTGGGTTGGACATTAACAAACACGTGAGAGTTGTGGCAATAGGTAAATCTACTTTTATGCAATGGGGGAAGTTCAACAATGTGGCAATAGATAAATCTCCTTTTAAGCAATGGGGGAAGTTCAACAAGAAAGAAAAACGTGTATAGATCTAGTGAGACAACCATCACCCAGCCCTTTCCCGATAATATTTTAACAAGAGAGATGGAACAAGGGGTAGATGAGGACTTTTCTAGGTATTTAACATTACTGAAAATTATCTATTGAAAAACCCTGAAATGATAGGGTTTGTTTCATGTAAATCAGAAGTGATCGCACAACTTGCAATTAATGACATGCGTGAATACTTAAGCTTTTCTTCATCAGGAAATAATAAAACATTTGGCACTTCATTACACGGATTGAAATGATTGCATCTGATATATAAAGGTTTAGTAAACTTGTTCCCATGGTACATCGGTCGTTGCATCACTAGGATCACTCAAACTAATATGGCATGAGCTCACTTTGTGCACAATAGCGAAGCTAGTGACAAAGCAGAGACTGAAATTTAAGGAATACATACTTCATTTTGTTGACAAAGCATGAGCTCACTTTGCATTTTTTCCAGATCAGCGACCTGTTGACTAGGTTCCAGATCACCGACCGGATGCTGGGGTATGTCAAATTAGTGAAAGCGAAGAACTTCCGGGGTGAGACGGCTCGGGAAATCTCCCAAGGGAATGCTAGTGGCGATCAAGAGCTTGCGGAGGAGTCACGACCTCCTACTCTCGATCCCTCTTTATCACAGATTTTAAGGAGTGAACCAACTTTTTTTGAGAAGTACGCAATTTTCTTTGGCCTCCGAAATGAATCCGCTCGCGACATTATACTTTTAGTGGCTGCCTTAATTGCGACTGCCACGTACCAAGCCGCTCTCACTCCTCCAGGAGGATACTGGCAGGATAACTCTTCAAATCCCCCCGCCAATTCCACTGTCGTTACTGCCAATTCCAGCGGCACTGCTGTTGAAAAACCACATAAAGCCGGGAACATTATCATGAGCGGCGAGCATCTATACTTGTTCACGGCCCTCAATAGTATGGTTTTCTTGGTCTCCATCTTCACAATCTGGACCACCGCGATGACCCTATTGCCCCACACTTGGATGGTTTACGGGTTAATGGCCTTTATCTGTTGTGCCTACTTCACAACCCTTACAATCGAATTCCCGAATCCCAATACGGTCGGAGGATGGTTGCTAACGCTATTTTATGCTATCTTGCTGTTAGTCGTGGTGGTGGTCCCCTTGCAATTTTGGTTAAACCAAATCACTCTACGGCGCCGAATAGATGCCACATGTAGACGCGTCGGCAACTTCCAAGAAATGAAGGATCGGAAATAGTTTGCAAGTAATATTAAGTATTCTTCTCGCGTATGCAATGTAATCTGTGTTTCTAGTCTTGAGGTTTGGAAGAACTAGAGTGTCTTATTAGTTGCATGTAATGGACCCATCTATTTATTCCTTGATCCCGAGAGGCCCTTAGTCTTGCTTGAAGTCGAGACTTCGGATAGCTTTGCTCCTAATTTAACTTCGATGCAGTGGAAACAAAAAGTGCTGAGTTGCAACTCGCAAACATGAATGCTCGAAGTGTACACGCACAAAACGTTCAAACGGTAATCCCGTTTAGGCTCTTTATTTCTACAGAGAGGGCAACTGCATGATCCTATAAATCATGCCAGATAAAGAAATCGAAAAAGAAATCCCGAGAATATAACAAAAGCCTAGCTAAACCTAAAAAATGAACTAGATCCTATGGTATCTTTCAATAATAAATAAAATATGAAACTCATTAAAAAAGTTAAATATAATAGAAGCACTAAACTCATATATTCCATACTAAGTGAATATCCTAAACGAACTTAATTAAAGAAGGAAATATCAGACTTGAATATCCTAAATTCATCAAATAAAAGACAAGAATCCAAACTTAAGGAGTCCAACATCATTCTCCCTTTATTAATTAGAAAAAAGGCTTGAGCACGAGTTTTTGAAAAGTCGGGTTATCTAATAAAGCATACGTGCTAAATTCCTCTTGGAATTTGGAACCATATCTACAGAATCAATCTAGATTTCTTGCTTTAAGGAAAGATCCCAACTAAACTGCAAGATCGATCCATCAATTGATTTTTTAGTTTCCTTGCATAATAAAATCAATTTTGCTTCTTCTGTTCATCTTTCCATTTTCTATCGCTTCAACATTTGTATCTGTATCCAGATCAACATGGAAGGGGCTTTTCTCTAAAATCATCTCTCCATCATCATGGAAGACATGATCACCCTGAGATTCTTCCTCAAGCTCAAAATACTCCAAATCCTCCTGCTTGAAAATGGAATCCAAAAACTTCCACTTCTTGCTCGAGGCTCAACAACAACCTTATCAACAGCAATTATAGAAGTGTCGATCATTTTTTGGTTGTTGTTATTGAGGATAACATGAAGCTGGCTTGTTCAGCTCGATCATCAATCCACGAAAATCGCCGCTTTATTCGATTTCACATTTTATGCCACATTCTAATCGGCAATTTACCTGCTCTTTTCCGCTCAACCTGCACCTGATCCCACAAAAATAAAAAGAATGTCCCTTCAATCTAAAAGTTAAGAGATTTGGTTGTCAATCTTTGGATATGTACGTGCAATGCAAAAGATGATTTACATCTGCAATAAAATATTTCGCGTTGAAAAATCCATTAAATAAGGAACCTTGCTAGGAATTCATGGAACTCTTTGAGACAACGGTGTCGCAATTCTTGGCGGTGATCTCCGTGACAGGCTCCATCATATCGACCATCCGTCTGTCATAATTATCGCCATCATCACCTCCACGCCTTCTGTGGCGACCGTTCTTCTGTTTATGCCCCTCGAACTCCTTGAAATCCTTTTTGCTCGAATATGAAGTCTCTGGATAAACAGGACATCTCATTACTTTGGACCACCGAAATAGGTTCATCGAATGGTTGGCGCTGGGCTCAATTTTCCCACGGCACTACTTCTACGTCCCCACCTGGGTTTCTCTCCAGCCCTTCGACACAAAGTCAGTTTGCAATGGCGTCCATAGTCATCCGCATCCAACCGAATTACTGCTCCAAGTTTTGTTGAGATGCTTGCCATCAAAGCATGAGCCCCCAGTTTTTGTCTATGAGGCAGTTTTCACAATTGTTATTACCAAACATCTCGTTCCCACGATCTTCCAGGTTCTAATATCAACCGATGCAGTGGAGATGAAAGCATGAGTTCCAACTCGCACACATGCATTCCCGGAGCATACATGCACGAACGGCCTAGAGAGAGATCTCTTGATGATTACACAGTGGTCATGACGGTGGTTTCGTTGTTGGTTGAAGGCAATGGGAGAAGGTAAGAAGCAGCAGTGAAGGGTTGAAACTTGAACGTGTGGCCGCCTTCCCCCTCTCTCCCGATCGAATCACAGCCTTCCCCGTCTCCCCCCGATTGACACGTACAGAGAGAGGGGGGAATGCCTAGGGCATGGACCATGATGCTTGTGGACACGAACATAGGAAATGCTTTTTTGATGCGGGAAAGCTGAATGTAAAAAAGTTGTCCGGTGGAATCAGCAAACAAACCCCATTTCCTCTCCTTCTAAGATTTGTAAATTTTACTAATGACCCCAAAAGAATAAAGAAGGAAAAAAGGAGGTTAATAAAACTATGAACAGGCATATTATATTATAATTAGGTGCTATCATAAGTCGGCTTTTGTGCGGCAAATTAAATCTACTTCTACCGTTCCAATTTGAAATAAATCATCCACGTCATGATCAAAGAACTCTAAGAGATATTCATGAGGTGCTCAGACAGACAACATCGAGTTGGCTTTGCCTAAGGACCGTATGTTGTCCTTTTGTTAGCTATCAATAATAAAGCCTATAGATGGTCTTAACGGGAACCCCCATTACTATAACCCTGGACCCTGAGTTTTGCCAGTAGTCAAGATTTTTCTTTTTTGGGAGATAAATCAGGAGTCAAGATCGAAGATGCTATTAATTAGTCAAGTAAGCAAAGTAGATTACTTTTTTTTTAAATCTAATTTAATTAAGATTTTGGTTAAAAATTTCGATGTAGTCCAAAATGACGTATTTTTAGTCTTATTTTACATATTTTAACAAGGTCAATGCCACGTAGGAGAGATAAATATTTTTTAAAAAGCTACATAGGAGAGAGAAAACATTGAAAAAAGCCACGTCAACATTTTTCATTAATCTAAATAGATGGAGTTAATGGAAGGATTCGATTATATCAATTTGACAAATTTTATAACTTGATTGCACTTTTTGTCAGTTTTAGTATTCAATTGCATTTTTATGAGAAATTTTAGGACTTCGAGTATACTTATCTCAAAACAAAATTTATCCACATAGAGCTCCATGCATAGAGCTGCGAGCTCCACATGCTATCTCTATTTTGCTTCATATATGAAGAGCTTTTTAGACCTTCCCGATGGTGAACCATCGAAGGAAGGGCTAATGGATTGCTAAGTGGGAACGAAGGTTCCTTTCACGATGCAATTGCTCGCATCTAGCGCAGATTTTCCCAAGCCCTATCAATCATAACTTGGTACTCGATTGAACATGTAATTTTCTTACCTTTTGGAGCCGCCACTAATCAATTATGGTCGATTGAAGACCTAAGTAAAGTACGGGAGAATACTTAACTTTTGCGAACCAAAGATTCAATGGATTTGGGGATTTGATTACGCTAGGTAAATCTAACGCCATTTTTCCCTTTATTTTTAAAAATATTTAACAGGCAGCCTTGGACAATTTTAATCCATATCCACTAACATGCAAAGGGTGATCATGCGGGTGCGCAATCAATAATGTAACATTCAGTAAATCAAAGCAACAAACAAAATTGCTAGACACAGGGCAAACACTTCGACTAGGCAAAGTTAAAGCAAAGCTCCATTATCATCCAATGCACCAAGTGTCCTGCAGGATGTTGACTCAAAACCAAACAATGCACGTATGTCCTAAATGCAATTTCTAAATGCAGTGATGATTATTTTGGGTTTTCTTCTTATTATTCATTTTTTTTATTTTCTTATTTTTTTTAACAAAAATGATTTTTTTTATTAACCCGAACTAGGCTTAATTTACATGGACTAACTCAGGACATGAGTATTACATTAACTATGCTCGAATCATCCTTTTCAAAGTAGAAACCTGGTTTGGGCATTTTGTCGAACACTTGGTTTGAGTCAAACTGCCCAAACCAGTTACTATGAGCCATATTCATGGCCTTCGATCTCGACCCGCAGGTGGTCTTAAGTGAGGATGAAGCACAAATGCCATGCAACTGCACACCAAGAGCAAAAACAATCCAGTAACAGCTCGCAAAAATGATCAAATCATGGTTAAAAGCTCCCTCAAATTCACGAGTTTAGCTGTTTGGCAAGTCTGGGCTTGAAGCCAGAACAGCCAGACTATCGTGAAGAGCCATTTGGCGAAGATGAAAGTTGAAAGGAGTTCCTGCTGCACCTATTTGAAGGAGGAGGAGAAGAAGAAGAGAAGAAGAAGACAGCAAAAAATGCCAAAGATGACTATCATGAAGAAGAGTAAAACCAGGACCACGAAGCCTATCATGAAGACTCGTTTGGTGAAGACGAAAGTTAGAGGGAGTTCCTCATGCACCTATTCGAAGGAGGAGGAGAAGAAGATGGCGAATATGCCTAGGAACTTCTGTTTGGTGAAGATGAAAGTTACCCGGTGTTCCTATTGCATCTATATGAAGGAGGAGGAGAAGAAGAAGAGGGAGAAAGTGGAATCGGGACGAGATCGACAGTGATCATCACATCAGGTCCATTTTCACATCCTCGCTCTTTATTTCTTATAAAACAAGTATCATCGAGTACTGGTACAGTGGAAATATTATTGAGTTCTGGTATAGTGGACAGCGAAAAGAGCAAGGGCTATTTTCAGCCAAATTGCCCATATGGTCATCAACCCAGAATATTATCGGATGTGTTTGGGCAAACTGATTATTAAAGTTTCTGGTTAAGCATGTAAACATGTGAGGCTGAGAAACTACCGTTGCTGCTAGACAAATAACGGTGCCATTAGCTCACCTTCATCCATATAGTTATTGCTCATTGAATTAGCAACGATGTGCAAGAGTTCAACTATTTACTAAATTTATTTGAATAGCTTGAGAATTTGTGACAAATATAGAGGAGATTGAGTGTGTGATACCACAAGAAGGGTGCGTCCAGTACCTCAAAGATTTAGAGAATTGTATATAAGGTGGAAGGGAAATTCAACAATTTGAGTTGCTTGTGAAGAAAGCTTTCAGGTTTCAATAAGCATTGAGTGGTGTTATGAGATGAATTGGAGCTGAAAGCCATGAAGAGGAGATTGAGTGTGTGATATCACAAGAAGGGAGTGTCCAGTACCTCAGAGATTGAGAGAAATGTACATAAGGTAGAACGGAAATTCAGCAATTTGAGTTGCTTG